GTTATGTGTTACATTAGCTCCACACAGTGAATATACAGCTTGTATGTTGTTATATCCTTGCACCTGCCTCTACACGTGTTTGCGGAGAAATGTGACACATAAAGTATCTCTCATGTTGTCATTTTTATAAACTACTAAAAAGAAAATCAGTCATCTGAAGGACACGGCCTTGGAGATGTCAGCGGCTGCTCAGTCAGCTTGAGAGTTTTATTGAGAAGTCGTTGGTGTTGGACTAGGGAAGAAATGAATTGCTGTTATTGAACAGGCAGCACTGCTGTTAAGGGAATAAAATCCAGAATGGATATAATAATGAATACAAACATTATAATATAACAGCACATTTTTCACAGACTTGTCTGAGAGGCTCTGTGTAACTATAGCAGCTCTGAAATACGTGAAGAGTTTCCGAGCAGCAACTGGTTGATCGTGAGGGAAACGGGGTGTGTGTACTTTGATGTCTGAGCTTCCTGAGGGGCGTGGGAATATTCTCCACAGGCACGAGGCGGAGATGTTCCTCAGGGATTTTAGCAGGTTGCTTAATTGAACCTTTCTATTTCTGGTAGCTGCCTCACCTCTCTGGATTCAGCGGAAACAAGCATGCCTTCCCAGGGGGAACAACAGAAAAGGGAAGGATTCATCTCAGTGCAGGCATCAGGACATACCCAGCTCCTCTGTGCCTATTGTATTATACAGGGATGTGAAACCTTAGGGGATATGAAGGCATTACACTAAGATTACAAAGATAACCCCGAGTCCATCAGGAGGACAGTAAGGAAGATTAAAATGTAACTTTGATGCCTGATCCCACACAGCTGTGTCCATCCAAGAAGGGGAAGCGAGAAATGAAATGCATGCCATATGTAGGTCACTGAGCACCTGCATGGTGTAAAAGCTAATCATGTTCCACACACACACACACACACACACACACACACACACACACACACACACACACACACACACACACACACACACACACACACACACACACACACACACACACACACACACACACACACACACACACACACACACACACACACACACACACACAGACAGAGAGACAGCTTGAGTCAGAGAATATACCAGTTAATAATATATAGTTATCTTTGGTGCCATTAATAGGAGAGATGAGGGAGAAACCTTAGAGGTTATTCACGACCATGATTAGGATGTCGGACACACTGCAGGATAAAGCACTGCCTTCCTGAGCTTTCATTAAATTCAGATGCTGTACCGGACCATCCAGCTGGTGACATCTTTGATTAAAGGAAACTCAAATAAAGCACAAATGTAATTAATTGCTCAAATGGAGATAAAAGGGGAGTTCTAATTTCACTATCACTGCTATCAGCATGATAAAGACACTTAAATTACAATAAACTACCACTTCATTTGTTCATATACACTTTAGTTTGTACCAGGGAATTATTAGGAATTCAGAACTAGGACGTGACGCTTTATAAATGACTAGGGCTGCCACTAACAATGCCAATATTATTTTTCAGATAATCTATTGATTGTCAAGGAAATAATAGAACATTATTATTTTTAAAGGACAAGCACACTGTCTGTCCCAGCAACAGTCAACAGCCCAAATATAACATTTGTTTTATTTGTTTTTGTTTATTAAAAATGTCTAGAAAAATTACTCGAAGGATTAATGGATTATAAAAATAGTTGATACGTTTACTGTTTGTTGACTTATCAATTTATACAAGCTTTTCCTCTACTAATACCTCAGGGATGCATGTCAGTTATATTGTATCAAATGCTGATTTGAAAGTGCATACAAGTCAAATGGGGTGATTATAAAAGGAGGAGTTGGAGTGGAGGTCGTTTAATGCTACTTTTTAGAAGATTATTATTCTAACATTGTACAGCATTATATTTCAAATCTGAAGATGCCCGCATTGAATGCTTATTTCCAAACTAAAGGGTCTCAAATACACTACTTTATTATTTCAGTCAGAAGTCATGGCTGCTTTGTTTTCCTGTTTACTAACCTGGGTTATAATGTAGATTAACTACAGGGCCAGTCTCTCTGTGTGGGGGGTTTGGTCTTTTCCTGGACAGCTGTTTCCATGGCAGACCTCTCAAGCTTTAGATCTACGTCAAGCTCACTTAGTCACCTAATCTGCTCTGATACTCTCCGAATTAAGGAGGAGCACACAGACAGAGACTCCATTAGCTCTGTCCGAACAGAAGAACCTGCACTTAATGGAAAGTCAAAGCACTAAATGAATCACCTGGAATAATGTATTGTCATGTTGGATTCTATTTTAACACGGCCTATTCTGATGATTTGGACTCCTGGCATACTTGGCCTAGTTAGATTTGGTATTAACTTACACAGTGCATGCCATATACTTGCAGTTCAAACCCACTGGTAAGCACCGACATGCCTCACATACACAAGCTTTTGTTAGTAACAGTAAAAAGCATATTTATACAGGTACATAGATTTATGAAGTTAACTTTCAGGGAATCAAATTGAAGAGCACATACAGTATCTGTCACAACCTGCATTGCAAGGGCCCCCTCGACAAAGAGCAATGGGATTTTTCCATTGGATTTCGCTATATTGCAGAAAGTAAGATCTGTGGCAAACACAAGTTTATCATTCTTACAGGTTTTGTTCAGAAGGATAATCTCAAAATATTGTGATTTTTCTTTTCAAAGTATAAATCCAATCTCCAGAAGTAAAAACCTAACGCTAGACCAGGGATGGGTAACTTTGATGGTGGTGGGGGCCACATAATGTATGTACTGGCCACCAGGGGGCCGCAGATTCACTTGGAACACACACGCACACAAATTCCATGTATTGTATGTCATTATTAACAGATATACTAAGTCTGACATCTTCATTGACATTTTACAATCTTTCAGGGAACATCCTCTAATAAGCTCACTAAACAAATATCAGAAAAAAATAATGTACAGGCTTTCAGATTGCTGTAGTTCACTAAACAGAGACATTAACGACATGTTTGGTGTTGACAGAAAAAGCATTGGGTTACTATTAAGCTTCTTAATAGATTAAGAAGCTTTTTCTCCAACCAGTGAGGTAAAGGCACATCTTTATATGATCATTATAGTTATAAAAAAATAAGAGAATAAAGTAAACGGGTATAAAATATTATATGACAGTAAAAAAAAGTTGTTATTAATAAACAAGAATAGAGTTTGAAAGGGGAGTGATTTGTAAAATATCCATAAAGAAAAAGAAAATCTGCTTACAGTTCTGTTTCATATGGGTGTTGAGAGATGTATCCATAGATCTCTTAATGTTGCTCTCAAAGTGCACCAGATTGATGCTTTTAACTTCAACATTTAAAAAAAATAAAAATAAATCTTCCCAGGGGAGCATGCATATTTCCTACACATCAGTGTGAAAAACACTTTACCCCTCAGCCACTTTTCATCAGAAGGAGCTTTGCATTTGTACCAGAATGTAGCAAGAGTACAAGGAGCTCTCAGAAACATGATAGTTAAAAGTCCTTCTGCTCTGCACACAGCTTTTAACTGTGCCAGAACTGTGTGTGCTCTCTGCATGTAGCGCCGCAGAGATGGAGCTAAATAGGTGACAGCCTTCCACTGGTTTTGAAGTGTGATTGTCACACTTTCTAAAAGGAGTGCAGCTTCTCCTCTGTGCTCTTTTACAATGCTTTGTTAAAGTTTGATTCTGAGTTTTGCTCCTGGAATATGGATATTTATGTGGAAAGAAGTTGTATTTTCCTCTTTCCTTTTGTGTGTAGAAAGAAGTTTTCTAATTTAAGACATACCTTTCATTTGTCACCAACACATTTGTGGTAAACCCTCATTGTATCTGGGCTTCACACTCTGAGTTGTATTTTAAAGGAGTTGTGACCTACTTTGGACCTCCATACTGCCTTATTACTGTCAGCAGCTAAAAACAAGCTGTCGTCTTCTTCTCCAGAAAGACGGCGGCTAATCAGCTTAGCCCGTCTGCTCCGGCAGGTGACCCGAGACTGTGTGTCCAGGAGACAGTTGGTGGGGGTCAGGTTATCCTTGTTTGAGCAGTTTTTTTAATAAGAGACCCCTGACCTTTTCCAACACTAATTAGAAACGGACAATTCCTGCATACTGTTTGCAACATTCAAGGTCCTTTGGTGGTCGTGAATGAACTTTCCAACAAGGAATGTTGTAGGTCATGTCATGCAGAGGTTCTGATCTAGGTTGCCTGAAATAAACCAGTATGTGTTACACCTAATCATAACCCAGCTGGGGGTTGGCAGCAAGAGAGGTTGCACACACAGAGACTAGGCATCCCATAGATTTCCAGTGACGGTACAATCTGCACCAGTGACCCTAAAGAGCCAGAGCATCACTTCATTCTGGGGGAGTGTTTGTGAGCATGTTTCTCAGTTCACATTCATGTGGATGTGACTTGTGTTTGTGGACCATAGGCTGTCACGATGACTCAGCAGAGCCCCCCCCCCCCCCCTTCCTAAGGCCCTAGCCCTCCACCACATACCAACACATATATTCCTTGGGTGCTGTTGTACCATCAGTCCCACATGGGCATCAGCCTCAGAGAGAGAGGGAGGGGGGGGGTCGGGGAAGGGCTCGGCAGGCGGTTGAACTACTGGCAGGGTGAGCTTGCCCTGGAAAGGGCACATGCCTCCCTGCGCAATTATCCACTAAGCATAGAAACAGCACCCCCACCCTTAACACATACACACACAGACACTCACACAATGGTTCGACCAACACAACTAAAAATGGAAGATAGGCGGTAACAGAACATGACTGAAGAGAACACATCATATAATACCATCACACTGATGTGGGATTGACATTTATCCTCAATGTGTCAATGAAATCTAAGATGAGTGAACATGCATCCAACTTCCTTAAGGGGTAGTGTTAAAATAAGTCCCGCACATCACTGGATGGCAGCTGGTATTGTGCATATCGCATGACATCATCACTGTATCATGAAAATTCATGTTCCTCTTCTTTTTTTGTTACAGGCTACTTCAGCGTATTAGCAGTCGTGCTGAAAACCAGCAACGAAGCACCGTGGACCGATGAGTTCGACAGTAAGAGCTGACGAACAATACCCCAATCACAAACAAATAAAATACAAAATCTGTTTTTCACTTGCATTCATATCCTGACGTGTCACTCCCTTTTCTCAGGAATCGAGTTATCTTGTTTGATTGAGTCCATTTCTACATCCAACCCCAGGATCGAATGGAAGAAAATAACGAACGAGGGACCAAGTTATGTGTACTTTGACAAGAAAATCTCCGGTAATGTACAAAATGCACAAACAAGTATTTTCTGCGGTTTCCTACACTGAAATACCTGAAACAATGACTTTAAGTGTTTTATGTCCACAAATGTCACATTACTGTTTAAGGTTAGTTCAAAGCGATAATATTAAGTTGACAATAATATTTGTTATTTAAACTTAACATTATTCCTTTCAACTGACCTAATACAGTTATTTGAAATCTTGAGACATAATACATTTAATCAAAGTCAACATTTCAGTTTTTTCAGTGTACACATTCATTGCTGACATTGTTGAACATGATTTTCCACAAACAGGCGACCTGGAGAACCGAGCGATGATCAGAGAACCCGCCACGCTGCTCATCACCAACGCCACCAGGTCGGACACGGCCAAATACCGCTGTGAGGTCACCGCTGCTGATGACCAGAGGTCCTTCGATGAGATCGTGATTGACCTTGTTGTACGAGGTACTGGAACATTCCGGCCTCATCAGCTTGTTTCATTTATAGTTAATTATGATAAGGATTCTTCTAAATGCAGAAAGCAGCTATTATGGTGCCCTTAAAGAGAGACCTTGCTCAGTGATTCACACGTTGGATGCTGTAAGATGAGAGCGTGTTGTAGGTCGCACCAACCCTTTGGCATACATATGAGGATGTGTTATGAGCAGACCTGCCCCGCTGCAAAGGCGTGTTCCGTGCTATAAGAGGAAACCTCTGAAACTGCATCTGCTCTAAATCGCAGTGCTAAAGAAAGCAAGCGCTGCGTGTTTTGGTGGCGTTTTTTGGCACGGGACGAAAATCATGTTCCCGTCCGGTCCTGTCGATGCTGTTAGTGCAGTGAACCGTAGAGACCGGGGTGACATTGTTTTTTTTATAGCATCAAAGTCAATCATAGAGCTAGCAGCATCATGAAGGAATGTTTGTTATCACTGTGATCCTTAGCGAACATGAGCAGGTTGGACCCAGGTTCCCTTAAACAAGCACAGGTCTGTTTGCTGTCCTCGCTCCAACATGGTGGAACAGCTCACCATTGATATCATGCAGTGGTGTAAAGTAACTGAGTATATTTACTCAAGTTTGAGAGACTTGTACTTAACTTGAGTATTATGTATCAATGAGTACATTGTTTGCTACTTTGTACTTCTATCCCACTACAATTCAGAGGTTAATACTGTACTTTTACTCCACTACATATATTGAATATCTTTAGTTACTTTGCAGATTCGGATTAATGATGTGAAATATAATCAAGTCTTGAATCAGACTTTAGTTCCATCTGGAGTAAATTCACAAGCTACCCTGCAGTATACAAAGTCATTCAAACTAGCTGCACCTTTACCAGCTTTGAGAACACTTTAATGATCAATCATTGTAAAACATATCATATATATTATTCTGAAATGGATAAGTATAAGTACTTCTCCCACATCTGATATCATGACAGCAGAAAATCTACATATCTTCCATTAGAGACTAAAAACAACCAGTTTTGCTTGTACCTTGGCCAAAATGAAAGCCAAGATACACTTCAGTACATACTATAGCACTTAGAGATATGAGATATGTGGCTTAGTTGAAGCTAATGCAGTAGCTCTTACAATGGTTTGACGCTTTGGATAACAGCAAAATGTGATGTCCGGTTTAAGTATATTGACAATCCCCACGTTCGGTTTCTCCCCAGTAAAACCCGTGATGCCAAAATGCAGCGTCCCAAAGTCAGTGCCTTTTGGGAAGTCTGCTGAGCTGAGCTGTGTGGAGGAGGAGGGCTTCCCCAAGTCTCAGTACCAGTGGTTCAAGAACAAGGAGGAGGTCCCCGACGACCACAAGACCAGCCTCAAGTTCTTCAACTCCTCGTACACGCTGGACGCAGACTCAGGAACTCTGGTCAGTGTGTGTGTGCAGACAAAGACAGGCATGAGGGGCAGAGGAGGGGCAGCGGGGACGGTGGCCGCTCGCCCAGGGGGGGGGGGGCAGATATTTTGGGGAGACAGTTGACGGGGCGAGAGGGCCTGAGCCACGAGGGGAATCCACTGTCCTCGCTTGCACATTCCTCAATTCTCACTTGCTCTTCAGCGCTGTGTCCCTCCGCTCAGTGGAGTGGACTATTTTTCCCGGGTCATCCCCTCTGTTTCCCCCTTTTTTAAATCTGTCACTATAGTAAAGGCATTGGTTACTAAAAATAAAATAACTGAAGACATTTTTTCTCCAATCAAATCTCTGATAACATCTTCTAATGAGGACACTGAGGTTGAATGTCATTGCACAGAGCAGCAGACGTAATGTAGCACCACCAGCTCCTCTGATATGGTGCCTTAAAGACTGACAGCACCACGAGAAGCTTGTTTTTACACAGCGGCTAAAGTGACGCTGCTCGAGGTATCTCCATTCACTAAATCCCAGAGAAAGAATCTATCCATCTTTGTACTGAAACTTAAACAAACATTGACAGTATGTGTGTATTAATCAGATTCATGTTGTGATTTCTCCGATGCAGCAATTCATCGCGGTCAGAAAAGAAGACGCAGGCGAGTACTTCTGTCGAGCGAAGAACGATGCGGGATACGCTGAGTGTCCGCCGCAGCAGATGGAAGTCTGTAAGTGTGACACACATTGTTTCAAGATATATACATCCTATGTCTGTCATTTAAAACCATAATCAAGACTATACTTTACTCTGTCATCTGGACAATCAGGTTGATCAGTGTTTCATTTCTACGTTCCTTCTCCACCTCCACAGATGACATTGATGTTTTGGGCATTTTAATGGGCGTGCTGGTGGTGGTCATCGTGCTCATGAGTATAACAGCGGGGATCTGCTGTGCATACAAGCGAGGATACTTCTCCACCCAGAAACAGACGGGGAACAAGTAAGACTTCCTGATATTCACACTGTCAACACATGCATGTTTTCATTTTTAACCTTTTTAAACCATGGCGTACTTTGTGTCTTTTAGCTACAAGGTTCCAGCTAAAGGAGACGGAGTGGACTACGTCAGGACGGAGGACGAGGTTTGTGGACAGCAGTTAGATTGAGAAGCCTGTGGAGATTACAAATTATGCTATAAAAACAGAATATAAGTAGTCAGTGGTGGGAGGTTACTAAGTACATGTACTCAAGTATATATTATATATGTATCATTTGATGCTAATACTTTTGTAATTAAAATTTTTATATATGGATATATTCACTTATTATTAAATGTCAATTCATTACTTTAGATACATTTTGTTTAAGCTTTTATCTGATTCTATAAAGTATCTTAAGTAATGAAAAAAGTATAGTGGTGTAAAAAGTACAATATGAAGTAGCATAAGTAAAATACTCAAGTAGAGTACAAACCTGAAAATGGAGTGTCCTTACTTTTCACCACTGACCATAGCAACATGTATTCATTATAGGGTCTCACTGTAAGAAGGATATCTGAGCAATGGGAGGGATACTAACTCTGGCTCCTCATGTGTTCTCTGCAGGGGGATTTCCGACATAAGTCTTCATTTGTGATCTGAAGAGAGGCTGACGAGGCTGTGCTGAGGGATGGAGGACGGCCCCCCCGCTGTGAGACACGGAGAGACCCCTCCTCCACTCCCAGCTCTCAGCACCACGGAAACACAAATACTCAAGTTTGCCAAAGGTGACGAGACTTCACAGGACGACAATACTGTTACACACGTAGGACTGAGATTCATTTGTCATCACCACCAACTGAATTGTTTTGCTAAATAATGGAGTTGTTACTTTACAGTGACTGCATGGTTTTAAACACTGAGCGAGGTGGACAAACATTTCTGTGTTCTGCCGGGTAGAAAGACTCCAAATTCAGCCAATCATGAAACCTTTCTACTTATGCTTCAAAACTTTTGTCATTTGTATAACATTTCTTTTCTACTGTTGAATTTTGTCAGACTATTTTTGATGGAATATATTTTAAAATGCCTATAGACAAAGGTTTACTTTTTTAAATATTTGTAAAATACTAACATGTGGTGTTTTTTTTTTTTATTTGATTGTGGATAGAATTATGTTAACCACTTTGCATCAAGCTGTAAGCATTTACACCTTTGCAAATGGAAGAAAGAAATGACTTGTGTCAGCATATCGAGAAGTGGTCATTGATCGGCGGTCTTACATATTTAATTTCTGAACGCCCACTCTGTCGTTTGAGACTTCCATGTTGATGTTTGTAGATAGTCTTAGTAAGAGGCTTTGAAGAGTGCCAGTCAAACGCTGTGAACACTGCACACAATCAGTGCTGCATTCTCTTGTTTTAAGTGTCCTTCTATGCTTGCTGTTAATCTTGTATATATTGAATTTACTGTCCAGGAAAGAGTTTTGCTTACATTCAGTATTACGCTATAATAATAATAATAATATTAATCATAATAATGCAGGGTTTGTAAGCCAGCCCTCCAGACTCCAAAAAGCTAAAACTAGACTTGGTACTTAAACAGTATACAGTGTAAAAGCCTCCATTTGATTTCTGAATAGAAACACATGGATACGGAGAACAAAAAACGTTATGACTCGCCTATTCTTGAGCTGCAAAGGTACCAAGAACATGAGAGAAAATACTCGCACTACATAAAAAAAACATAGAGTGGTGCAGGAGCAAGTATTTTTGTTGGTTTTACCAATAAGTTAGCATCGCAAGGGCTACCCAATAAAAAAACAACATGACTTTTCCATTTGATTTTGGAATATTGCAGAAAATAAGCTCTGTGGCAAACACACCTTTTATGATGCTTCCATGTTGTGTTCAGGATAATCTCTCTGTCTATCCTCAAAGAATAATCGTCCCAGTGATCCGAACTGCTGCTGGAAAGTTAGAAAAATAGAAAAAATCAGGAGAAAAGGCAGACCGTTGGTGGCAAAACTTCACATCCCCACTTTAGCTGAGCTAAAGGCGGCTAATGTTCGGTGTGATGCTGTAAGTAGTATTTAGTAACGTAAGTAAAGTAGTTAAATTGTGTTAACCACAGACCTTACCAAAAACACATTAAAAAAAACTTTAACTTTGTGAAAACAAAACCAAAAGTAGTAAAATGCTAACTCATTTCCGGGTTTTAGGACTCATTCCTGCACCACTCTATGAGATGAAGCACATTAAACACACTATCTTTGACCTGAATCCTGGTTGATATTGATCTGTTCTGATCGTTGCTGATATTTGTGCTGTTTAGAGAGTAGACCTTATCTAACACTTCTAACCTTTAGTTAGTTGCTAAGAGAGATCATCTTAGGTTTGACTGAAGCTCATATTGTATTGACAGTTATATACAGAGGGGGGGGGGGGGGGGGTCTGGAGGGTTTACACTTGTACTGATTGTATATAGATATTTGTACGTTTTTTTTCCTCTTTCTCTCCAGATTATGTTAAGTAGTGAAAAAATGTCCTTTTTGAGGCGATATGAAAACTCTTTCCATTTGTAAGACTGAGAAAAGGTAACATTTCACACAATCACTCATAACTCATGAACAAGAGCTTCCCCAGAACCAAATCAGATAAAACAAACACATGATATTGTTCATGTCATTTCCATACAGCTCCCATGGATCTCTTTTTCAGCCGTTATGAATGTTTGAGTAGTGAAATGTGACCTGAGTATCAGTCATGGTAGAGACGATCTGCCCAACGTTTGCACACGGGAAGAAGAAACACTGCTGTCTTTTTCCAAGTTGCAAAAGAAAATGTTTCGAAATGACTTATTATCCCGATTAGGGTCCCAGCTGAATCTGTTACAGGTACTTTTCCCCTCCTCAGTTTTACAAAAGTCATTCCTCTTAAGTGCCTTCTGCCTTCACAGTAGTCCAGATTCTCCTCGCCACGCTCTTCCACTCCACACTGCTGTCAGAGGCTTTGCGTGTTGCGTTCACGTAACCACCAAAGAAACGGCGTTTGAGAGGAATGATGACATGGCAAGATCTCCACTCCCCTACTTTAGATTTGCAAATTGTAAATAGCTTTTTTTCATAGAGTTGAAGGTGTTGATGTAGAAATAGAATTGTATTAGTGCCTAAATATAGTGGGAATTATTTTTGGTAAAGACACATAGCACTATTAGGCAAAAGAAAAAGATGGATACCCAAAGCAGGGACATTTATATATGAGCTTAAAACACGTTTGAAAAGACGCACTAAGGTGTTTTCATTTATTACACTGACAGACAGAAGACTTTCTCACCCCAACACTCAATGATCCTGACTCAGAAATTATGAAAGTGCCATTCAGTTGTAATGGAACTGTAATTATTCAGGCGTTTTATAAACCTGTAGAGGCAAACGGGAATTAATGAGCAGCCGCTAAATGTAGGCCTCCATGCCCCCCCAGCCTGAACACATCTGTCTGATCGGTGCTGGGGGGGTTATCTTCACATGCAGAGGTGCTTTCCAGTGTGTTCTGTATTATAAACCGGGCTAACTCACCATTGTCTTTCAACTGAGGTATGGCAGCGCTCCACTGTTAAACTGTTACACTCTGAGCTCTGGTACTCGTCAGGAAAAATGATTTTCTGAACCAAACTCACATACAGTAGAATGTCCATTTGGGGCCTGCTGGGTTTTTTTTGTTCATTTTAGAGCCACTCTATCTGTGATTAATAAAACTCACTTCTAATATTACCGGAGACACGTGTGTTTGTTTTTCTTCTGCTGTGTGTGTGTGTGAGGATTCTGCATCTGCCAGTCATTTCCTAATTTCTCTGCTTCTTATAGCCTCCTCGACTACTTCAGAGTCTCCTGCTGTGTATGAAATCCTTTTCAGTGTGACAGTCCATCAAATATCCACTGACATTCTCTTTGTCCATGTAAAATCTGTTAGTGGGAGTTGAGCCATTTACACTTTCTGCTCTGAAAGCAGCTGTTTTCTTCCTCTGGCTGTGCCAAATGGCAGCAGGTTCATGGATGAAGCTTTCTAATCAATGAGCTCAGAGGAGTTCTATACTGCAGCAGAGCCAGAGGACACCTTCTTTTAAAACACAGGGAAATCAATTAAAGCTTGGGTCACCTATTTGGTTCAAAGTGGCAGAAAAACTACTTTCTGACCCTGGATCTGATGAATCATGTAACATTGAATGAAGGACATTTTCAGACGGTGAAGGAGGTGTTTAGTGAACACATGTCCGTTTTAGAGGCTGACTCATCGTAGCTGTGCTCTCCTATCAAAGTCTCTGTGCTGATCTGTCAATTGTAATTTACCACCATACAATCTATTTCATCTGATCAGTAATTTCCAGATCAATTCCTTTCTTTTTTTAACACCATGCCGTCCATATGAAAGTGTTTTAGGTGAAGACATACCATTCAATTTTTTTTAAAACAGTTGTTCGCATTGTGTTTGCATTCTCGACATTCTTCTGATGACACCTGGTATGCGAAAAAAGTTCACAAATGTACCGAAAAGGTCAGTGAATATTTTAAGCTAGCTAGCTAGCACAGATGTAAATAGTACTTATAAGAATACTTTTTTTTTATGTTGTAAATTCATCTATAATTTTAAGGTTTTAAATATAAATGCATATTATTTTTGTAATAAACGATACTGAATTTAAAAGAAGAACATTTACAAGAACTCTCCACTGGATGCCTTTAAAGGTCCCCTAAAGTGAGCAAATATTTTTTCCTGAAACTTTCAGAATCTCTTTACACAGAGGGGACACATGTTTATGTATACAAGACATGAAAAAGTGGATTTCGCATAATAGGTGACCTTTAATACTTTATTAGTATCATTGATATATTTTACTTTGAAAATCATCTTTCTGAATGAATATGATTTAAGTTTTACTTTCTCAGAATTTACAAAAGACTACCTTAAGTGTGTTTTATTGATCTCACATTTTAAAGTTGACACAGGGCTGTGCAGTTGTGCCATAAGATACCGCTAGTGTTAAATATATATTTTTTAATGAATTGTAAATATAAGTTGCTCAAATTCTGTTGGTTATTTTTCAGATCTAAAAATATCAAGTCAGGTCAAAAACAGCTCAATTTGGATTTGTAAAAATTCATAGGCAAACAATTTGATATAATTTTGGCCTGAGCTGATTTTTACAAAACAATTTTACCAACTGAATTTGAGCAGGGTTTTCTTTTAACAATGGACACTTGAATAATTTAATTGAACATTATGGCTTGATTACATGTTTTAGGGTAAAGGAAATGTCCAGGTAGAGACATTATTAAAAAAGGTCCCTGGATGTATTTGACCAGGAAAGTTTCAGATCATAGTTGACACCGGGTGAGGCCGGTGCCCTTCCTGAGTTTGTATGGGGGACGTCAGCTGATTTGCTCTAATAGCTACAGATACATGCAGTTTGACGGCTGCAGTTATCAAACAGGAGCAGACACCACAGTGAAGAGAGAACATTGTATTTGACAGAATGATGCAGCCTATTTAGAAAATACCACAGCATGATATGATGCATGACACATTGACAACATGTTTGAGTTGATCAGAGCTGCAGCTCACACTGATCCCAAATACAAGGCTGCGCTTGTTCAAAGTTTCATTTGAGGTGTACAATTTCACTGTGTGACACTCAGATGTTCAAGCTGTGACAACTGTGTTCACTGTCTCAAAAGTTTAAGTTGTTTATGTTGCGACTCAGTTCATACTGAATAAAAGCCTCAGGGGTGTCATTTCACAGTGTCAAGTTAGATCATGAAATTATCTAACCACAATGTAATACGCAGTTAATAGAGTCTTGTTAAAATCTAAAGTGACACATACATTCATTACACAATTATTGTTTCTTTACTTGTACACAATATGTAATAATGTTGTGGGTGGGTCAGTGCTATAACCTCTTCGACTGATGTATCAGCATACTGGCATATTTGGCTGATATTTGTTTTATAGTAAAAATGTGGTATTGGCCAGTAAGAGTTGGGGAAATGTTTTAAAGTTTCAGAAGCTTTTTTCCTTGCCATCCTATTTATGAAGATGTAAATGAAATATATATAAAAGCAGACACAACATGCAATTCTTTTAATATGAAGGATTATTTCTATTGGCCTGGAAAGGTTAAGAATGTGACTCTTAAAGGCACTTTGTGATTTTAACGCTATTTCAGTGAAACCATTTTTGTTAACATCATTGATTTTTGCTTTTTTCTTGTACAAAGATACTATTAGATACACTTTTATGTATGCAAAACTTTTATGTATGCAAAACTTTACAACTGGTAGAATATAAAGTTATTTGTAAGGAATGGGGTTTCTTTAATGGCAGCTTGTGATTTAAAGGCTTTCTCAGTGAGACAATGACATTTTGATAACCTGACTGATTTGCTTAATTCTCTCACAAAGGTACTGTTAGATACACTTGTATGAAACCTTAAAACAAAACAAAATGAAGTACTTTGTCAGAATAGATTTTCTTTAAAATACTGAATATTGCACACTAAATCAGGGATGGAAACGTTAAGTGAAGATGACTGGGGTTGATCTGTCTCCTGTTAGTGAACTCTGCTCTCTGGTGGTGCATCACTGACATCACACTCAAATTTCTTCTTGGAGTAAAATCCAGAACAAAGGTGAATGCAAAGTAAACACGTTAAAATCAAGAGTAAAGGTTAATACCAATATTAAGATCTATTTATTGTTGTTTTTTTTCTATTCTACGATTCTACAATTCATGAAAAAAACCCACATATACATATTTTTAGGGATTTAGCCAAAAATTCAAGGCACATTTTTCCATCATTGTCCCTGGTGTTTCCAAAGTCAACCACACTATCAACATGGTGATCGACATTAAATGGCTTACATTATAGAAAGTAAGACCTCAAATCTAAACAATCATACACGCAAACTAAATACAATACAACCGTTGTGAAACAAGATGTCATCTATGAAATAGAACAAGGAAGAAGGAATTCATTCTGGCTTAATAAGAGGAGGTATATTGTTCTTACCTATTTTTCTTGCAACTCTGGGCCAGTCTTTACCTTTATTCTTGTGTTTATATGTGAATTTATACAATAAAATATAAATCATCTAATCAATTATGACATTATTATGGATTAAGCTAACCAACAGTACAAAAAGTAGCCTTGTTAAATTTAGCTCGACATTTACCATCTGCCACAAGAGATAAGCACATTAATAAATCACTTATTGTAATCTATTTATAAAATACATTATGATTCTGAAATTGACCATTCTGCGTGAAGAGTGTTTTTACTTTTAGTACTTTGAGTATTATCTAATGCCTCTTTTGTACTTTTACTTGATTAAGTTTTGAGTGCAGGACATTTACTGATTATAAAGGAGAAAACTATTGATCCGAACGCACAATGATTTGGGTTCGACCCTTTCTACATGACAGTGAAGAGTACCTGAAAGACAGCACTCCGGGAAGCAAAGACTGTGAGTGAGTTTCTTCCGCCTGTTGATACTGCGCCAAAAAAGTGCAGACGTAGCGATTAAAACATAATTTATCTAATTTCAATAGCCACATACAACCATATCTCGTCGTGTTAATGAAGAGTATGCCACTTTTGTTTATGAAAAAAACGTTAAAAACGAGAAGATTTTCCTTCACGTGACAGTCGCGCATGCGCACTCACACTGTTGTAACTGGAAACATTCAATAATCTGGGAGCAGTTTGCACAGGAGCACGAGCCTGTGTGCTGCATTAGAGCACAGTGACAGCCATGAGCTTCTTTGGTTTCGGGCAAAGTGCGGACATCGATATAGTTCTGAATGACGCCGAAACGAGAAAGAAAGCTGAGCACAAAACCGAAGACGGAAGGAAGGACAAATATTTTCTCTTCTACGATGGGGAAACGGTGTCGGGGAAAGTCAACGTGACGCTGAAGTACCCGGGGAAGAGGCTCGAGCACAACGGCATCAAGATTGAGTTTGTCGGCCAGATAGGTGAGCGGCTGCGGGCCTGCCGAGAGACAAAGTACGAGAGGAGACGTTAGAGAGCTAGCTACAGGCGCTCACTACACAACCAAACACTCCCAAAGTGTAACGTTAATTATTTCACGAGTGAAGCACTTGAACGCCACACTGCGGCCCACAAGTGTCAGTTTGAAGTGTCAGGTCTCGTGACAGATGTTGGTGCAAGCTAACATCAGCTGACACAGCCATTGGCTAGCTGTCTCATTTACCTTTGACCCTTGTTTCTAAAACCTGTCCTGTCACATTACAACTGTGACTTTCATAGGAAGTAGTAATTCGTTTCTGGATAAGAGTGCAGGTTACACATAACGTAATTAGTCGCAGGTTGCGAATAAAAGTTGCTGTTTTGCTATTAGCAAACACTGAGCATGATGTTACAAACCAAAAACAACAAACTGGAACTGAAGTTGATTCAGCAGTGTGAACATGTAGCTAAGTAAATGTATTTAGTTACTGTTCTTGATACTTCTTTCCTCAAATGAAAATAGATAGACTGTTAACTTCAAAACATTAATTTTACAGTTTAAGCTACGAGTTACTATGCCATTTAAGAGTTTACATGAAAAAACATTTGTAACAAAATAGAACCGCCCAGTAATATATTGAGTAAGTAAAACCACATAGACCAGCTGAACCATTGTAATGCTTTTATATAATAAGTGTCCTACCATTCAGCTGCATTATTACATTACATGACATTTGTTAGACGCTTTTATCCAAAGCGACTTACATGCATTCGGTACTGTGGACAATCTCCACAGGAGCCATTTGGGGTGAAGTGTCTTGCCCAGGGACACAACGACATGCTGACTGCAGTGGGACTCGAACTTGCTATCCCCTGATTCAAAGTCTAGCACACTATCCACTGAGCCACAGCCTCCCTTATGAGTTAGCATTATGAGTACTTTTGATACTTACACTGCACTTTGATGATAGTACTTTAATATTTCTACAATTTTGTAATCCTCTCATGGTTACAGAGTAGATGTGTTGAAAAAAGTGTTTCCAGCCAAGTGTAATTTGCGTCCCCTGTCCCAGTTTAGACTGTTTAACTGACAAACAAGTTTTGTCATTGATTTTTACCAAAAGTACATTACAAAACTTTAATTTGATAAAAAAAACTTCAAACACCCTTAATTTACTCAGGAATGTATAAAATAATCAAGAGCATTCCTTTACAAATTAGATCAGCTGGGAACTTTTGGTTGTGTTGAAGTAAAATTGTGAAATATGCATTTAAAATCAGAGGCTAATTCCACAAAGGTTGCACTGTGTAAAGCCAGCCGGAGGGCTCACTTCATTCAAAGATATTCAGTCCAACTACAGCTTGTTTACAAGTATTAAAAAGGGCGTACTGTTCTATTTTCATTTTCAGTTAACAAAAAAAAGGCCATCTGCTTAGTTAGTATGATTGTATCAACAGTAGGGTGTTACTTTGTTACATTACAGTTGCGTATTGATATTATCAACAATGCTGCACGCGTCCCTCCCTCTTATGTTCACTACCATTTGTCTCAAATAAAGAAGAAGCAGAAGTACTTTGGTTCAGGGATAAAAGGGCAAAATGGCAGAATTCAAATTGGCCTTTTAAAAACAGAGTTAGTTAATATGGTGGAGGAGTTGAAGATTGTGCAAACGCTTTATTACAATGTTTAAACCTGCTCCTCTGTATCTGTCTGCTTCTGTTGTTGTGTCCTCTGCAGAGCTGTACTACGACAGAGGGAACCACCATGAGTTTGTGTCTCTGGTGAAGGACTTGGCGCGGCCCGGGGAGCTCACTCAGTCACAGACGTTTGACTTTGAGTTCACACATGTGGAGAAACCCTACGAGTCTTACACCGGTCAGAACGTCAAATTACGGTAAGCTTTGTTTGCATAAATCATTTGCCTTGTATATTATGTTGAAATGTAGGTTGAACATGCACCAAATCATCTAACAGTAATAGCATTGAATCTTAAATCTCCTCAACTATTGGTTTTAGTGTATCTTTACAATCAGCTGATCTCATGATGCATTAATGTAGGACACAGCAGCAGATGTAAATGTATTGCATGTTTCAGCGTGTGTGTAAGTCAAGACAATTTTATTTATAACCCAATATCACAACATTCCGATCTATTATGTGACTTTATAAAAAAACATGTCTTTGTTCTACTTATCCAACACTTCAGATAACAGTAATGACTGAATACTTGTCATCATGGTATCTCTACGCTTGTTAACATAAAATACAGTCAGTCAGTAAGCATACCACTCGTGAATGTCTTGAGCTTCTTTGTGTCTTAAATGAGACATCATGAGCTGCCTTTAGCTTAGTGGTGGGGATGTAGTTCGTTAAAGGTGGGGTAGGTCATTTTGGAGAAACCAGCACGAGTGCGCTAGAATTTGAAAATACACAGCCGGAAAGAATCTGCCACTTCCTTACAGAGCCCCTCCTCCAACACACACCAATGAGGGCACGAGATAAGTTTGTGCACAGATAGAAGGCTGACAGGCAAGAAGGTTGACAGGCAGGAAGGCCATCCAATCATTTTAGCCGGGCCGGCTAAAATGATTGGTCGTGCTTTTTACAGTACTACGGCTTCCACAGATGACATTTCTTTATGGATTTTTTGTCAAAGCACTTAAGATATTCATTGCTATCGGGATGTTAAGAGCATTCCATGGAATATAACAAAAAGTGTATCTCGAGCCGGTTTCTCAAACTTACCTACCCCACCTTTAATAGCTCTTCAATTCTGATCATTTCATTCATCTTTGAAAAATAGTAAAAGTGGTGTTAATATCTGGAGACAAATATTTCAGAAATGTTCTGCAATATTACAAAGTCCAAGGAAAAAATCCCATCGATTTTTGTCGAGGGAGCCCTTGTTTTGCTATCTTCAGGTTCGACCTACCAAAACACATCGTCTTGCACCACTCTATTGTTGACGTGTTAACATACTTGTGAACATTTTGCGTGTAACATGGTAAAACGCTAATGTTAAAGGAACAGTTTCACACTTACATTACACTTATGTGTTCTTTGTGGACTCCAGGTCAGAGGAGTATATTAGTAACACTCATATTTGTAATGTGGAGCCTTACAGGGCCTCTCTGTGATAACAGTGTTACAGTCTTGTTTCATAGTCATGTGATCTTTCTTTCTCTCTAGTTACTTCCTGAGGGCCACAGTGAGCCGGAGGCTGAATGACATCAGCAAAGAGCTGGAAATCGTGGTGCACACACTCAGCTCATACCCCGAGCTCAACTCCTCCATCAAGATGGAAGTGGGGATCGAGGACTGTCTACACATAGAGTTTGAGTACAATAAATCCAAGTATGTATTTTTATGTCAAATAATCTACTGAAATGTAAAAGTTCTTTTTTTTGGATCAGACTTTTTCCCTTCAGAAAATTGAGTGTGACGGATCATACCATTTGCTTGCAGGTATCACCTTAAAGATGTGATTGTAGGGAAGATTTACTTTCTGCTGGTGAGGATTAAGATCAAACATATGGAGATTGACATCATCAAGCGGGAGACAACCGGCACAGGTCCTAACGTGTACCACGAGAACGACACCATAGCAAAGTATGAGATCATGGACGGGGCACCAGTCAGAGGTAAAGCAGCTTTGTCCTGTCTTCATGAGCCGTCTGATTGTTGTGAGGTTCTGTTGAAGGCCACTTCTAAACATGTTATCTGGTTCTGCTTGGCTGTGCTGCAGGAGAGTCCATCCCCATCAGGCTGTTCCTCGCAGGCTATGAAATGACGCCGAGCATGAGGGACATCAACAAGAAGTACTCTGTGCGGTACTACCTCAACCTGGTCCTCATCGATGAGGAGGAGAGACGCTACTTCAAACAGCAGGTACAGATACTGCACTCTGGCTTCATGATTGGTTGGCTGTTCACTTAAGCTGCTGCTTCATTACGTTTCTTGATGCTCAGGTACATCAATTAAGAGTATTATTCTGTGCTTGGTAATGCTGACATTTAATGTTTTATCACTCTCTTCACACGCAAATTGAAATTTCAGCTTGCACATACACATATCACATGAAGGTGTGTAACGTCACCTGTAGCACCAGAGGGAGTTTCAGAATCAACCCATAATGAGTTAACATGTGACAGAATTTGGCTTGGGCTTGAAACTTGAAGATATATCTTAGTGCAATATTTAGGAAGCCCAATATTGGTAAAATACAATTTTTGAAGGAAGTATTGAGGAGTTCCAGAGTTATCCTGGCTTGCCATTAGTATTCTTAACACAAATACTTGTTAGGTACAGATCTTGTTAAAACAACAAACCATGATCATTATATATTTTTCTATGATAATGACAATAATGATACAAAATGGTCAATCCCATTCCCTATATTGTGACCACAATATAAGTTACATGCAGCTTTTTTTTTTTCAAATGGTGCAGCCCTATTGTATTCCATACTGGACTTGGATTTGATTAAAAAATAAATACATATAAAAATCAGGTTCTAATGAAAGACATATTGCGTTGCATTATGGGAAATGTAAGTTCTGGCAATGCTACCTTTGACTAGTTCTGTTTTTGTAATCCTCCAAGTTCATGGACTAAAATATTTGTTGTTGTAATGTATTTCCAGCTCCCAGATGCATAATATACACTTCTAACTAGATCTAGGATTCATTTGATTTGAATCAAACTATCTGGTTCCAGCTCCTCACATGATAGGTGCTGCTTCTGTTTGCTGCTGTCTTGTTGCAGTGACTGAATATATCTGGGTTTGGATCTTTAAGACGTCCCTTTGGGCTTTGAGATAATGGGATTAAACGATGAATCGAGTAAATCACTAGATCATTTATTAACACCATAGTTCCAGGCTTGTTCCATCTCCCCTTTGAAAGACTTTTGGGCAAGGTCCCTAAAATAAGGTTTGTGGTTAATATAAGTTTATAAATGTTTTACATATTCTTCTACAACATCGAATCAGTCAGTAAATACCCCATTCTGGTCATTCTGAAGCTTTAACATGTCTTAAAAAGGCGGTTGACTAAACGTCAAAATTAGACGACTAAACTTCATCACACCGAACATTAGCTGCCTTTAGCTTAGCGGTGTTCACGTGAAGTCATGTGACAGTTATGTTTTTTTTTTATAGCCTAACGTTAGCTTCTTGCTCTGGTTAGCTGATATACCTGATTAACAAAACGTGTCTCATAAAAAGAGTGTTTGTGTTTGCAGGAGATCACCCTGTGGAGGAAGGGCGACATCGTGAGGAAGAGTATGTCTCACCAAGCCATCATGGCCTCGCAGCGCTTCGAAGGCTCCTCTCATCCAGAGAAGACCCCGACCCAGAGCCAGAGCCAAGAAGAGGACAGCTAAAGCCCAGCATGCACCTCTCCCTCCTGTAGTGAGTGTCTGAGCAAACAGTGCAGGAATTGCCAGCAAATTCTGAATGTAAATATCATTTGTTTGCATTGAGATTGCTGCAGTGTTTTCAGGATGAGTGTGAGAGAGGCTTTAAATATAGCTGTGTGTTTCAAGGGAGCAAACAGTCTGACTCAGAATGCAGTTGTGAGTTATTCTGTTTGTTTTAACCACCTTGAAGTACCGGTTTGGTGGAGTTTAGTCTATTAAGACTGAATAGATGAAGAAACTGCACAAAATTGACATTTTGAAGTGCTTCATTAAAATGTAATGGTGTATATTGTACAGTACAGTGAGACAAACGCACCCATTACATGCACTAAAATATGATTAGCAAATTCAGTTGGATCAATATCTTGAATTCACATGTATGACTACAGGTTGATAACAACCTCTCCCTTCAAACTCTCACTCTGCTAGACTAAGAAAACTGGAGTGATACAGTGGACCTCTTTAAAGTGGGTAAACAGACGTTACACTACGTTTCTCCTCAAAGGAATGGGACATTCTGAAATTCATTCATTTTTGATTATGTTGCTATTATAAGTCCTCTGCTGAGAAAATCCCCTTTCTTTGGTTTTTTATTCTAGAAAATAAGCAACGACCCTGATCAAAGAAAAACAAGTATATATAATGGTATAAGACTTTTAACATTCTCTAAATTAAATGAATTCCATTCACGTGTTTGTATAGGACGATGCTCAAAATATTTTCATACATTCCAAGGAGTATCTATTTTTTAAGAGAAAATCATTTTATTTTCAACAGCTTTTTAATGTTGGATGTATCTTGCCGTCTGGTGCTGCGGAACACAGACGTGGCGTTTGTTAGTGCTGTGGGACTCTCTCCCATCACTATGATCTCCTCTTACAGTTTGCAGCCTGCTTTCTTATTTGCACTATGAACTCATTCTGCTTCTTTCTGCTTTCAGTGCTCTTTAGAAACTGGACTTTATGGCAAAATGAAAATCACATCACTTCAAATGAAATATGGAAGGTTTTTCTCCTGTGTCGTAGTTAGCTGCTGGGTGCCTAAGGATCTATTGCCAAAACGTGTCGGTGCTTTCTTAGAAAGCTTCACGCCCTTTCCCCCTCTCAAACTGTGCTCATCACTTTAGTTCCTACAGTCACTTATCATAACATGGGTTAAGTGCCAATAATCTCTTAAAATAATGCTAATGTGAACAAACATGAATGTATAAGAAAAACTCTGTACATTTTCTAAATAAGCATAACCAGGTTTATTTGTTGTTTCTAGTCGGGTAGAGTCAATAATTGAATCCCTGTGACATTATTCTTTTAAATGTAATTACCTTTTCTTGAAAAGATTGTCTTCATTCTGAAAAAGAGCACACATGTGAGTAGTAAATGTGACATGCTGTGCAACCTGGCAAAATCCTCTATTTTATATTTCAATCTTTTATTGGAAGTCATTCAGTTTCTTAGCATGTTGTTGCTAAACGTCTCCAGACTGCTGTTCGGGTAAACCACATGTTCTGGCTGAGGAGGAGAGAAAACAAATTATAAATAATATTTCGGAGCCTATCTTTCCCTCGCAAAAAAAACAAAATACTTTCCCTTGCTTGTTTCTTAACTCAATCCTGATTTCAAGCTGATTTTGTTAGCGGATCAAAGGTTTTAAACTTGAGTCACACATTTAAAGTTGGAGCAGCTTAGATGATTGCATAATTCCTGGTCAACAAATCAAATAGAGCTTTCTGTTTGCTGAGCGTCAGCTGCTCTCTTTTTGACCGATGCAGAACATACAGTTGGTACATTGGATGTTTGGGGTGAATACACACAAGAGGACCATCAAATGAGTCCGATGTACGCGTAAGAAGTACGGCAACAATCCCATAAACTTCTGTCTGACAACATATTTAGGGATGTAAGGTAAATCCCTGTACTAACAATACAGATCCACACCTACTGTCTCTCTCCCATACTGAATACATTCTGCATTATTTCCCTGACTCGTCATGCTTCATTCTGGCTGCTACCTGCGGTCATACAATAGCACTTCACTGAAATCTGTTGATTACAATTCAGAAAAACAAAACATGTTTGGTGTGTGATCTTAATTGTTGCCGTACTGGTACAGTGACACAGTAGCTAAACTAACCCAGTTTGTAATAGAGAGTAGACCCAGATATACATAGCAAAGATTTATAAAATGTAAAGTATAAATGCACAATGTAAATGCAATTTTCTTCTTTGTTTTTTTTCCTTGTCATATATTATCTCCCTGTCTATAAATGTTGATTTGATGATTTTATATTCCTGTTTTACTTTAAATTAAAAAGGGAGTAACTGAAAAAGGCATCTTCTCTGTGTTTATGATATTTTCTTCTATTCCTGATAAACACATGTATTGTACAGACAACATGAATAAATTCAAACTGAGACCTGAACTGACTCTCTCACTAACATGACCTCGAGGCCGTCACATTGTGGTTATGCTTTAACATATTTTCCCTTAAACCCATACAAATGTAGACATGCAATATCGTCAAACATAGTTATTGCACTTGAAAGAGTTGGGATTGTTTATAAGCTGAAGAGCTATTTGATGGCTTCCATCAGTGAGGGGGAATTTATTGGAATTATTTGTGTTTTTTTACAATACAGAATTGGTCATTAAAGGCATGGTGATTGTCCTCAGTAAATGTCATATTGATAGTGGCAGTGTGTAACCCAAGTGTTAGTCTGCCTGTGTGGAACAGATGTGCTCACTAGAGGGCAGGTTTGGATCAATTTTCTTTATGAACTAGATTTTGTGGGGAAAAAGGTAATAATTAGTTTAAGTAAAGCCTATTGTTAACCTGCCATAATTAAAGGGTCTAAAAGTGGCTTTTTAGACATTTGTACCAAGTGATAACCAGCAATTACATCTGTGCAATGTGTAAAATGAGAAGAGGTAAAGTCATTGGGCAGCAGTGTTGCTCCTGAGTCCCAGCTATTTCTTTTAGCAGTGTGCAGACAGTTCAATCTGTTCAATGACTCATCCCTCGTGTTAAACAGGCAGTTAGCTAGCAGCTGAATAGATTCCACAGAGATGACATCGCGACATGATCTATGATGAATGTGCCTTCTCGATATTTAGCAACAATGTCTTATCTGTAAAATAGTGCTCGTTAATAAAGAAATGTTCCTGGATGAATGCAGAGTGACGGTTCTATTATCTAGTGACACATCTGTCATGAGCTCCCTCTGAAATTCCTCACATTGGTGATTATGTGACTAGTTATGGCATAGTGGCAGGAGAAAAGACAGACCGATTCAAAATGCTCAGCAGATAGAAGCACAGTTCTAGATGTTAGTTGAATTATATTTAATGGAGTATGGAAAGCAGCTGAAAAAGTGTCCTAGTTCACACCTTCTTTCCACTTTTCATCCTCAGGTGGATCAGAACTGCTTACACATTAATGTACAAATTGTAACACCTGTCCAAATTTGCTCACACAGCAGAGTAAAGTAGCTCTACTTTCTTTGCTTGTCTGTTGAAAAAGAGCAGATGTAATGGCAACCTGCCTTAGAGCAGTAGGATCTGCTGGGGCTCAATATAGAAGAGAAAAATGCAGGACTTATCATCAATATTTAACAATACTAAAAGAAGTCTGGATAATCGTTGTGTTCTCGCATAATGAGCAACATAATCCTTAAAGACAAGTGTCTGCTGCTCTGCTCCAGCGGAGAGGGCTAGTTTGGCAAGCACTTGCAGGAATTGTACAGTAGCTAGAATTATTTTACAGACTTCGAATGATCCACATAGACTAAAGCAGTGTTTCTGCAAGGCATACTTGAAATTGTTTGAAAATGTTAATTTACGTATATCAGTTATGCATGGTCTCTTAGATAACTATAACTCTTAGATAATAACAAGTTCATTAAAAAAATGCAACTGTAAGCTATGTTAGTGATAGTACATGATGTCAAACAATAAAGAAATAATGATAATAATAAATAAAGCAATAATAATGAATAATACATACAAATAATAACCATCTCTGTCAGCTGTATTTCACAAAAAAATGCCTTAACATATATTTTAAAATGTATTAAAATTACTTCAAATGAAAACAGACCACCTCAGACAACATACTGTCATTCGGATAAAATTAGCATATTCTAATGTAGAATTTCAACATATTCAATTTCATTAACATTTTAAAGGAAATGGCCAAAGACTTAATTTACTTGATAGTGATGCTCTTATCGTGATTCTTACAATATACACGAACCGTCTGTCAACTGGAATATAATAGCAAACTGTGATGTATTACTCAGTTGCTCGAGAGTGATGTTTCCGACAGCCCTTGAAAGCAGCACAGAGGTAGCTGCTCCTCTGCTCTAGAGCAGAGAGAGAGAGAGAGAGGGATTCACTCTGAGCGCCGAGCGGTGCTCCCACCCATTCAGCTGTACGCCAAGGGGAGCCCCTGACAAGTTTTAAACTGGAATAAACCATTTGTGACTCCAGCGAACGGCGAATTTAGTCGGACTTTTGTTTCGAAGGGGTGTGCTTTCATGGAGGACGATAGTAGTGTTATTTTACCCCAGAAGACAACAGCAACTGATTGAACGCTTCCAGTGTGTGGAACGTGTTTAGGGTCAGCCTAACGTTCGCTGTGGGTACAAACAACCACTGGCGCGGTTTCTTCCGTTTAGAGAGATATTTCAAGAAAAATATCCTTATTTTTTTTTCCTGCTTGGCCTTTTGGAGTGTGCTGGCTTTAAGCTGTGATGTGGAGAGAATTGATCAGCGGTGAAGCGCCAGACAGAGACAGCGATAGCTAAGCTCATCTCACCAACCAACGACCACCACCACAACACAGGTACTTTAATTTAGCACATAAATGCTACATGCGCGTGCTGTGTGTGACGTGCTTTATTTTACATGACTTTGCTAGATAACGTAACTCAGACTTGTAGTGTGTGTTTAGTGGCCAGACAGTGACATAGGCTAATGCTAGACGGCGCGCATGTGTGTAGTGAGTGTGTGAGAGAGAGTGGAGCTTGTGTGTTTTTGTGTGTGTGTGTGAGGGGGCTTTGGACACTGTCTCCCCGGCTAGTCATGGCTTGCATGGAGTTTGGTAATCCCCACGTAGAGACAGAATTGCACACAGAAGCCCATTCAAAAAAGCCCAATATAACGCATTTAGCACTCGTCGTACAGCATACACATAACTAAGGGAGGGGATTAGGGCCACATGAGAAGAAAAACAATTGGGATGTGAAAACAAAAAATAATAATTGAGTTCTGACTTTATTTTCAGAATTTTTAGGGGGAAAAAATCTGAACTCTACGATTAAAGTCAGACAATTCTGAGAAACAAAATCGGAATTCTGGGATTAAAGTCAGAACTCAACATTTGTTTTTACTTTTGGTCACATCCCAAACATTTATTCTCATTTGGCCCTAATCCTCTTCCGTACATAACAGAAGCATCTCATGTATTTCATCATTTGAATATTTTGTTCTTGTTTAACAAACAACTGCTGTCAAACATGTGTGAAGTAATATTGTACGTTTAATAAAACTTGTCCACAGTCAGTGATGAAAGAAGTATTCAGATATTGTACTTAAGTAGAAGTACCAGAGTGTAGGAATACTCTATTACACTTAAAAGTCCTGCATTCAAAATGTTAGTCAAGTAAAAGTATAACCATCAGAATATAATTAAATTACCAAAAGTAAAAATACTCATAATGCAGATTGGTCCATTTCAGAATAATATATATGATATGTTTTATAATGATTGATCATTAAAGTGTTATCAAAGCTGGTAAAGGTGCAGCTAGTTTGAATGACTTTGTATACTGCAGGGTAGCTTGTGAATTTACTCCAGGTGGAACTAAAGTCTGATTTAAGACTTGATTATATTTCACATTATTGAATCTGTAAAGTAACTATTAGGGTATTTCATAAATGTACTGGTGTAAAAGTACACAATTTACCTCTGAATTGTTGTGGGGTAGAAGTACAAAGTAGCATACATTTGAAATACTCAAGTAAAGTACAAGTCTCTCAAAATTGTACTTAAGTACAGTACTTGAGTAAATGTACTTAGTTACTTTACACCACTGTCCACATTCCGCTTGGTGTATCAGAGGATGTGACATTCACCAGGAGACAGTCTCCAGTCATGGAAGGATAATATTCATGTAGACCTATCCACGCTGACCATCAAGCAAATACCACTACAAATGGATTGAAATGAAACAGAGTCTGGTTTAATGGCGTTCTCCACACAAGGACAGTTCACGTGTGAGGGTCTATCGTAGTGTAGTAGTGTATGATGAAACTATTAATTTGTTGTATTACCTTTTTAAATATACCCTTACATCAGCACCAATACTGGTAGGGCTCCACTGCCGCTAGTAAAGTTCTTCTAGTTCTTCTATTCGGCATTCTATTTTTGCATGATTTCATTAGAAATGTTTAATCCTAAATTAGGGGTAAGGTTTCTCTTCAAAGCTACCCTCTCCCTCTCATGTTATTTGATTCACTGTTACAATTGTCATGTGATACTTCACTTCCTGTATTAGATTACTCTTTAATCAGATCTGCATGGAGGCCTTTAATCCGTATTTAACTATGCTAATGTACACAAAACAGGGAGGGTTATGCACCTACAGATCATGCAAATATACACTGCTCACTCAGTACAGCCACAGCCCTCCCATTCTATTGAGCAGCAGCTCCTGTGGAACTTTGAGGTAATAAATGCCTTGCTCAAGGTTTTTTTCAGGATACGTTCCAATCATCTATGTTAGGCGGCATTTCTCGCTCAGCAGACTCATTTGTTCTAGCAACACGCGCCTCTGAAGCCTGTTGAATCTGTGCCTCCACCATGATTGGGTGGACCAGTTGTCAGGTCATGGTTCGTTACGTGTTTTGCTGTCGAGGGTCACGGTTCAGTGCATGTTGTCAGTGCAGCGTGCGGAAATATACCTGTGCCAGTTGGCTGTGTGTGTATTTGTGAAAACTAAACTAACATCTTATATGTATTTGTACATATGTACTCCCCTTTCAAGCAGGAACAAAGTATAAACAATATTAAAAAAAAAATGCAATATCTAAAATCGATCTGCAAATATACAAACAAATCCCACAAAGACAATCTGTCAATACATTACTAGTAAAAGAAAAGCATTTGTGAATATCTTTCTAACATTTACAACTTTTCATCATTGAATACAGTTTTTATTGCTGAATAAAATATGCATTTGTGGATCTCAATTCTACAATTGGCCATTTATGGATGGCACTTGATGGCAAATGGTTGGTTGAATTATTGGAGAGAAGAACATTTAGTTTAAAAATATTTGTTGTATTTGTGGAAGGTGTTTTTAATGTACAGATGACATATTTACACCTGAATTGTTCTGTTCACACAGACAAGCATCGATCACTAGTTTACATGACTAATGTAAGGAAAAGATTGAAGGGAGGATTAGCCATCTCTTAACAGACAGATGGGACGAGCAGTTGTGGCTGCTTACTGCTGATGCTAATCTGAGAGACTGCAGCACATCTGTATCGTGAGTTAAACTGTTGCATTCAGGCTGAGGTGTTCTACAATGGACACGTTAAACATGATGAAGGAAGAGGCAGAAAGACCATGCTAAGAGGAGTAGACTGGTGCTAATGTCACTGCATTAAGTGCTCTGAACTTGCTCTCAGGTCACTACCACTATTGGATGGATTGCCATGAAATGAAATGCACTCATTCTCCTCATAGTATGAATTATAAAATCCCCAAAACCTTATACCTGCAACATTTATATGAAAAACTGAACATAGATGCCAGTTATCCATGCTATTTTCCATGTGTCCATGAGTTTCAATCAATAATCGGTTTTCCTCTTTCCTTTGAAACCTGGATGCTGCCGTGCATCATTGATTAAAATGTAGCAATTCCATCCAGGTAGTTGAATACCTTATTATCCTTGAGAATAGCAAAAAACCTTTTCTATAAACTTGCAATGACATAACATCATGTTTTGAAACTTTGGAATGGCCTCAGCGCAAACCTTTAAAAATAAATGAATCTTAGGTTGTAATGTTGTCAGGTCCTGTGGGATATTGTATGAGATACAGGCAATTATAAAGGATGGTCAAGATTATTTATCAAAATAAACACACAATCATTAATTCTGCAGTATGTATTTAAATGTAAAACTGTGTGCAGACTGACTGTCCTCTTTCTCCAGTTACGCAACCAACTGCTTTCTTTTGTAATCTTGATATGACCATTAACCTTCTTGGCTCTCAAAGGTCTCCTTGTTGGTCTTTATCTTTGGGAGGCATGCACAAAGCCAGACGTGACCTCTGACCCTGGCATTAGATACTGACGCATTGTGCATGCATCCATTGTGACTGCTTTCTGTATGTTCATTAATGATGCATAATGCATACACTACTGCTTTCCTCAAGTCCCACACATACACAGAGCCGCAGACTCCAGCATTCCTAGTGTGAAAAAGCATCTCGTTCCAAAGTCTGTGCACAGCCACAGGCCTCAGAGGATGCTGCGACACTCCCAAAGGAGACTCCATTGCCCGTAAACAATCCTGGCATTCACACAGGCACTGATTAGTCAGTTGCCAGGGTTTTTACTACAATGGCTCAGCGGAGGATAATGACATCCGTTCGACAAAATGGAGTTCTCATTCAGGATGTTGTTGGCCACAAAGTTGTGTGAAAGGAGGAAGCATTTCCAGAAGCCACAAAGCTGAACGTTTAGCTTACTGTCAGACAAAAAGTTATAATGTCTAACTGATTGAACAAGTAAAATGTTTCATGTTATTACAAGTAACATGTTATTTCATACTGTACCTAAATACAATAACTAGTTTACTAAAACCATTGACCAGTGCTGCTCTACATTTCCTCTATCAGCTGCTGAGGAGCTAGCTTTAGCATCAGTCTGTCAGCATATAAACCAATAATGTGGATTTTTACACCTAATAACATGGTTATTGTTTTAAAACAAGTCAGTCGTTACCAGTTAAAATAATCTATTGAAAATGTTTAACCAACTGAGTTAAAGATTGTTAGCTGGCCAGCTTGGTATAGCTAATAGAAAGCTCCTTGAATGTTTACTTCTTGAATTGACGGTAAATCTTCCTCTGTTATTGTCTTGAGTGTTTACATCCCTTCAACATCTTTCAGAGTTTCAGCTTCAGATTTCATGTGGTGATGACATCACTCCTGGGAATTGTTCCCACACTTAAATGAGAATGGGAGCAGGTGCGCTGCTGTCCTGGTGTCAGGTAGAGCCACGCCTCCTTTCTCCCTAGTCTCTTTTCATTCTTTCTACAAAGAGCTATTAAGTCTCTTACACACCAAACTGACACCAAAGAACACGTCACGACGGAACGTCGCCTCACCTCACGTCTCCTGCGTCTTGGCCATGTTTCACACTCGAACACACCGCAAAGACTTCAGCCGACGGCCAAGTTGCACGTACCAACTGCGCATGCGTGACTGGCAATAACTCTCCTTACCAGCAGGCGTCGGTAGTGTGTATTCGTCACTCAAAAGAGGCAACAACCGGAAGACAGACTGCGTTATACACAGAGAGAAGAAGAACAGACTGCGTGATATAAACAAACGACAAATAGCGTGTGCGTTCCATTTTCACTCTACAGCGAGAAGCTCATGGGGCTTTCCCCAACCTGTGTCGAGAGCTGGAGTTAAATGAAATCTCAGATTTGCCTTCTTAATAAATTGTTTGGGTCCCTCACTTCCGTTTCGCTTCTCATGCACTGATTCGCTAAGCTGAACAGCCAATCAGAGTGATTTCTTTGGCCGACGGCCTTTGGCCGA